AAGTTTTAAGCTTGAAGGTTTCTCAGATGCTGATCTTGTAGGTGATAAGGAAGACAGAAAGAGCACCAGCGAAACATGTCAATTAGTGGGAAAAGCATTAATATCATGGAATAGTAAGAAACAAGGCTTAGTTGCATTATCCACAATTGAGGTAGAATAAATTGCCATTGGGCAATGCTGTGCACAGTTACTATGGATGTATCATCAACTAGGTGACTACCAACTATTTTTTAAACCTATTCAAATATTTTGTGATAACTCTATTGCTACATGTCTCTCAAAGAATCCTATGCATCATTCTAGGGCTAAGCATATAGATATTGAACATCATTTCATTAGAGATCATGTCTTAAGGGAGATATAGAATTATCATTTGTTGGAACCACTGATTAATTAGAAGATATTTTACAAAGCCTTTACTTGAAGATAGATTTTCTCCTTAAGAGAACTACTTGGAATTATTTCGCTTGATCATAAAAATTAGGACCTATGTGTTAATTTTAATTCTTGCGTGTCTAATGTTTTCAGTTCTATTTTCTCTGTAAGTACGCATTAATTAAGCGCCTCCAATTTCCCTCTCTTTCCCCATCAGTGGCAGCTCTCAAGAAAGGAAAATCAATCATCATGACTCTTCACTGACACACTTTCCTTACCTGTACTCAACCGTCAAAATCCCTTCTTTTTAATCCTCTGAACTATTCTTCCTTGTATTCATTGTTCTTATCGCTCAGAAACCCTTCTTCAAAATTCTCAATGGCTAAACACTCCTTCTGCCTCCACTAGAAAAAGTACTCGTTCTAAGGGAAAACTCTCTTCTCAACCTCCAGAACAGGTAGATCTAGGGTCTGATCACTCAGAAGGGTTTGCCTCTTCTCAGGCAAAGCCATCTGACTACTCTCACCGAATAGGAGAAAAAGCTCTTGGCAAAAGACCCATGGAAGACCCCCTTGAATCGTTTACCCCCAATAAATCCAAAGTAGACATCTCGAGTTCTCTAGAGTCCGGCCTCAATTTTTAGGATACCCCCAATAGGGATTTCTTTTTTGCTCTCAAAGACAAGCCAATTGCTCACGATAGAGTAATCGATTTTGATGACATGGAAACCCTAAATTGTAAGGTAAATGATTTATTTATTTTTCAAGGATGGTCTATGTTCCTCTCTGTACCCCCTCCCAAAGTTTATAAATCTTTAGTGAGAATGTTCTATGCCAATCTTCGTTCTAGCAAGCCTGATAAGTTAGAATCCCTAGTTCTAGGAAAACGCATTGTCCTTGATTGTGCCATGTTTGACTCAATTTTTCAATGTAAGTGCTCTGGCTTTCCCATGTTTTTCAAAAATACTTGGTCTGATGACTTTAAAATTTCCTTTGATCAAGCAAAATGTTGTATTGCTGAGTGTCCATATGAATTCCTTCCTAATCAGTTAGGTCCCATGATATTAGTTTCGAAACCCGAGTCCTAGCCCACATTGTTGCTACTGCTCTCCTTCCTCGCACTGGCTCATTCTCCACCTTCTCTCAACAAGATACCTTTCTTGTCTACTGTCTAGTGACCAAACTTAAGGTTAAACTATCTTCATGTGTCATAAACTTCATGATTCAAAGTGCTGATGATCCCACTAGTCTTCCCTATGGTATGGCTATCACCCACATCTTGGAAGCCCACAACATATCTATCTCAAATTACTCCTTTATCTCTGTTTCAAAGTCCTACAATTCTAGAGCCTTTTCCAGTATGGGATATATGTGTATTAAGGGTTCTAAGATCAAAGCCTCTGTTTCTCATCATAGTGTAGGTGATCATGATATTGTAGAGAAATTAACTGCTATTGACAACAAGTTGATCATCATCAAGGACCTTTTTGTTGCAACTCAATCAATGGTTGGGGGACATCCATGCCATCTCCAAAGAGACTGGGTCTGACGTTTCAAAGATAAGGGTCAAAATTCTCAAACTTGCAGAAAACACAATCAAATCCTTCAAGGAAGTACATGACAAGATTGATGGGGTGACAGTTTCAGCTAATGCTAGCTTTGAGCGTCTAAAGAAGGTGATTTGCAACACTCTCACTTATTTCTTGCGTCGTTAGTTATGGATGTTTCAGACAATTGTTTTTGCCATTTTGCTATTTTGGACTGGATAACCAGTCGATGGATACTTTCTTTACTAAAACTCTGTATGCCTATAGTTTGCAAATATTTGCCTATGATGTGCTTGTTTTTACTTATTTTCAACTATATATATGCATGCCCCCTCTTTACTGATGTCAAAAAGGGCGAGAAAAGATAGTCATACATTGCAGGACAAATAGCAGCACTTGTTGAAGGGGAGTCGACCGAAGCATATGCAGCACCCGTTGAGGGGGAGTTGACTACAGCAAAGCAAGCCAACATGGGAGTAAACTGTAGTTTGTCGACTGAAGCATATGCATCACCTGTTGAGGAGGAGTCGACTGCAACAGAGAAAGCCAACAGGGAAGTAAACTATATATATATATATATATATATTATTTTTGTCATTATCAAAAAGGGGGAGATTGTTAAATATGAGTTTCAATGATGAAAAATAATATATCACATTTGGTGCACGATCACAAGCGATAAAACAATGAAATCAAGGCTCCTTATCATTCAAGTATGGACTAAGGGAAACAATCCATCAACGGAAATAAAGGAAAAGAAAAGTATCAAAGACTAGCTGTGAAAAAGGAAGAAGCAGCGGAAATTCGGAAGAAGAATCAATCAATGATTTGATAGATAATTGACAGAAGCCAGTATAGGAAGGTTCCAAAATCAAAGGAAAATAAGAGTGCAAAGTACTACACTGGAGATTGTTAAAGCCCGATATAATTTGTTTAAAGATCTTGACAATACCTCAGCTGAAATGATAAACAATGCAGGAGATATTAGATCACCTTGCTTGGCCATTGATCAACACTAAATACCAATTGTTAGCCAACAAATTCCAGACCATGTTGATGATTTGGGAGTTGATTTGTACTCGGTTTTGAGATCTGAACACATATTTAGACTCGTGGGATTATGGGTAGTCATAATCTGCCCTTGACTTGGGTTTTGACTATGTGGGCCCAGGATTAACTTTTGTGACTTTTTGAGAAGTGGATAAAGACCGGAGCTTTATTGTTTGGAATTGATTCCTATAACATTGTTTGATATGATTGAGTTATTTTTAGCTTGATTCAAGCCGTTTCGAGATGATTTCTAAGGGAAATGCGATTTTAGAAGGTTGATTTAGGCTTGTTGAGGTACGTAACTTGCATAAGCTTGTGTGAAGGAATAACCCTTAGGATTTGGCCTTGTTTGGCTAATTGTGAAATGTAAAAAGCGACGTGTGTGCGAAGTGACGAGTGTGTATACGGGTGCTATGTGTGATTTATCACCAGATTAGACTTTAGCTTTTAATATGCTTTATTTTGATTATATGCTTTATGTGATACATGTTTGAGCATTTGTATGACTACGTGAACTTATCATTTCATGCTAGATATCATATTTAGAGTTATTGCCGCTTAATTAGCCAAGATGGTCTATTATAGAATGGATAATTGATTTAGCCGTAGTCATACTCCATATATTGAGCATTCATCCCCATTTTATTGTTATCATATTCATATACACTTTGTTGACTTTGTTGATAATTTAACATCTTGCATTGTTATGATTATCGCATATGTGGGGATGTTGTACGGATCGATTTGTGTTGGCACGAGGTCATTTGACGTGCAGATATGATGATATTGTTGTTGTTATGGCACGAGTTCATTTGTCGTGCGATTGATATGATTATGGCACGAGGTCTTTGTCGTGCGATTGATATGAATATGGCACGAGGTCTTTGTCATGCAGCGTGTGGATACAGATCCATCCCCCTAGGATCACCCTCTCATATTTATCTCTTGATGGCGTACACGCGGATTGTGGCACTTTAATTGATGTAATTGATTTTGATGTAGAAGAGGTTGATGATGAGTGGAGTATAAGGGTGGCATTCTTGATCATGCAAGTGATCCTTTATGCAAAGGTGATTTTGTCATGTATTTTACATGTTTTCACGTTGCATTTAACATGCTAGCCTATACCTTTGTTATTATTTGATGATTCTATTTGTCAAAGTGAATTTACCTATGTTGAGTCGATATCTCATGTTTTGTTGAGTTGATGGTCTTGCATCTCATTATATTCTTGTTGCAAGTTATTATATATATACACAAACACATGTTCTTTGATTAGTGAATATCACATAACTTGAACCTCATCGCTACTTTGTCGATGTTAGTCTTGATACTTACTGAGTATACATTGCTTCGTACTCATAGTATATTTTTGCATATTTTTGTGCAGATTCAGATGCTGGAGGCTACGGACCTCGGTAGTGAGCACATCGCTGATTAAGAAGATTTAAGGTAATGTTGCATGATTGTCGCAAACCCTTGGAGTCCCCTTCCCCTATTTCATATTGTTGTATTACTTTCATGAAGTAATTTACTTTTGGGACTCGTTATGTATTTGATTTCAGAGCTCATGACTCTGTACCTAGTTTTGGGAGTTGGTATTATGCATCACTATTTTGACTTATGCCAATTGCTTATTCCGTAATTTATGATGATTCAATCTTATTATATTATATTTTGATGATTGAATGCTATTAGTGTGATTGGCTTACCTAGTCTTGGAGGTAGGTACCATCATGACCTTTGGTTGAATTTTGGGTCATGACATAACTACTCTCATTTACATAAAGTTGTATATATGTATCAAACTTACATTATAGTTACATGAAACTTGTATGAAAATTGTATTTAAGTTATATTATGTTGTAGTTGTGTTATTTTTATATGAATGTTGTATGAAAATTATAAAAAAGTTATACATTGTATGAATTATTGTATGAAATCTATATTTTTGAGTTGTAAGTTCTAAATGTTAAACCTTGTATAGCCGAAAGCTATATCCAAAGTGAACTTGTTAAACCTTGTTACCAATCCATTCAGATACTGGGACCAAATAACCTCAGCAATAAGTTAAACCTTGTGCCTGCAAATTGGAATCTCTATTGTGTTCTCAATCGTGTCTTCTACCTTAGCTTGAAAAGTTTCTTCATTCCCATCATTGTCAATTTTAAAGGTAATGTAGTAGGTAAAGTCACGACAACCACCAGCATTTATCCTCACAATCTCCTTAATATCGCGTTCTTTCCCCTGCAGTTAATAATAAGTAAAGTCAATACTTATGAAGGAAGAACAGCACAGCAGAAAATAGGCAAATAACAACGTATAGATCATACATCATTGCCAAAGTACTTCTTGATTGCCATTGAAGCATAACTCTTGATCTCATCCACAAACTCAGGAAAACGTTCAAATCCGATCATGGGGTAGATGGGAGCAAACATGCACGACCCAGGGTATTCATCAAACTCAAAACCCTATTAAGATACATATAACATAAATAAACAGATGAGAATTGCGACAGAGTCAAAAGGTTAATATTTTAGGGCATAATTAAGCATTTGAATTCTGTGTGATCTGAACAAAGAGAGTAAAATATAATCACAAATTTGATAGTTGAAAACTTGTATAAAATGTGTTTTTATGGAGCAGATTTTGTCATATACACAAGTTATGCACGCAGATATGTGTGTCTGTGCGGACAAGAGGGCGAAAGAGAAGTTATGAATTTTCAACATTTCAGTTGTCACACAGAAAAGAAAACTGCCAATTGTAATGGATAGTTGGCTGGTGACATGAAAACATACTTAAAAACAACAGCAAAAGTCTACCAAAAACCATATATCATTTTTCCCTTCAAAAGCAAATCATATCGTAGAGAGCACCCAACACGAAAAAAAAGCAAAAAAGAAAAGAAGGGTTGTTTTAGACAAACTGTAATTACATATAATGCAACTCCTATTCCAGCAAGTATTGAATTCCTTTTCCCATTCGTTTAGGAAAATTCCAAGTTAATGCTTAGTATTACCTTCTAGTTTAGAGTTTAATTGATTAAAGAGAAAATGTACAACAGAAAAGGAAAAGAACAGGGAAATTCGTGATGGGTCCATCCCATGTGTAAGGAAGACATCTTCCTTTTGGCTTTGAAATGTCAAGGCAACTAAAGGAATAGTAAGGAAGATTTTAATATTTCTTTGGTTTTACATTGAATATTTGACTCTTGCCAAACTCATGAGATCATTGATGACATCAATGAAGCAATCTTAAACACTATAAATAGGTGTTTTGCTCTCATTGTAAAATACACCAACAAAGAGAGAAAGAAAGAGTGAGGTTTCACAGACAGGGTATAAGAAAATAGTATGTGAAAAAAATAAAGAGTGAGCGATATTGTAGTGAGGTGGAAATATCAAAAGAGAGTTATTTCTTTTAAGTGTTATAGTGGTCTTTGGAGTATTTTACTCGGAACTACAAAGTGTAAAATTCCTTGCTATAGTGATATCAGTTGCTCCTCTTAGGGCCATGGTTTTTTCCTTATTCAAAAGAGTTTTCCACGTAAAAATCTTGGTGTCGTTGTCACTCTTTTATTCTAGTTAATTACTGTATCTCGGTGCTACGTTATTATTCCGCTTTTATTACTATGAATATTATTTCTGTAGGGGATTTATTCCCAACAACTGGTATCAGAGCACAAGTTCTGCTCGTTCACAAAAGTACTATTCACCGTCGATAGTAGGGCTGCTTATCGGGCGGATTGGGCGGTTAATTACTCTTAACGGTTTGGCTTAACGGTTATCGGCTTTTAAATGTATTAATTCGCTAGCCACCCGATAAGATATCGGGCGGATTGGTATCGGTTTAGCTCTTATCGGGCAGTTATGGGGCGGTTTATTGGTCTAATGCAATCTATATTACATGCATTAATTGTTTGTTGACCACCTAGCATACAAATTCAGAATAAAAAATTACACATTGAGTCCAAACATACATGTCTATTAACGCCTACATAAGAATGATGTAGTGTGTCATGTGTTGTAGAGTGAAAAAAGCAGAACACATTGTAGGCTACATTACATCCCAAAGCAGACTACATATGAGTCCAGACATACATATCTTTTAACGCCTACCATTAAATCCCAAAGCAGACTACATTACATGAGTCCAAACATACATATGTCTGTTAACGCCTAGCCTATTAATTCAGAATAGGAAATTCCAGTCTATATTCAAAGTGAGTCCAGAATAGATATTTCAAAATGATAAATCCATAAGTGAGCAGTCTACACAGAAATGTTTGGCCTGCAGCTAACGCCTAACAGTGCTTGAATTTCTGCAGTTTCAAAGTTCAAACATCAGCTTCAAATTTCTAACTTAAACTCTCAACCTGGCATTTCACGCTATATCATTAACCATACAAATAGCACCGAGCAAAAGGCAGTTATGTATAGAAATAGGGATGGATTATAAGCAGTAAACAATTTACAGGAAATGCAAATGCGCTCTTTCCCCAGAACATAATTCAAGACAGTATTATCATCAATATTGTGGGATAAAAGTTATGGCACAACACTACTGTTATTCTATTAAACATAGACAACATGCATTAGTTTAAAAAACTAAAAGCAGAGGTGAACCATAGATAGCAGCTTAAACAATCTTGTTGTAGGGTGGGAGAATAAGCNTCAATAAGCCATTAAGCTTCGATTTCGGTTCGGTTTTCGGTTTTGGTTCGGTTTTGAACACCCCTAGTCGGTAGCACTATACTCAGTGAAAATAAAAATGTCTGGAGTAAAGTACGAGGTAGCAAAATTTAACGGAGATAGCAGTTTCTCAACATGGCAAAGAATGATGAGGGATCTGCTCATCCAACAAGGTTTACACAATGTACTAGATGCTGATGCCAAAAAGCCCGATACTATGAAAGCTGAGGATTGGGATGACTTGGATGAAAGAGCTGCTAGTGCAATCAGGTTGCACTTATCAGATGATGTGATAAATAACGTCATTGATGAAGACACCGCATGTGGCATTTGGACAAGGTTGGAAATCCTATACATGTCCAAAACGCTGACAAATAAATTGTACCTGAAGAAGCAGCTATACGCCCTACACATGGGTGAAGGTAAGATTTTTTTGTCACATTTAAATGTATTTAATGGACTAATCACATAGCTCGCCAATTTCGGAGTGAAAATCGAGGAAGAAGACAAAGCCATCTTGCTATTGAACTCGTCACCATCTTCATACAACAATTTAGCAACAACCATACTGCACGGTAAGACTACTATTGAGTTGAAAGATGTCACATCGGCTCTTCTACTCAATGAGAAGATGAGAAAGAAGCCTGAAAATCAAGGACATGCTCTCATCACAGAAGGGAGAGGCAGGAGTTATCAAAGTAGTTCGAGAGACTATGGTAGATCCAGAGCTCGTGGGAAGTCTAAGAACCGATCCAAATCAAAAGTCAGAAATTGCTATAATTGTGATCAACCAGGTCACTTCAAAAGAGATTGCCCAAATCCAAGGAAGGGCAAAGGTGAAACTAGTGGCCAGAAGAATGATGACAACACAACCGCCATGGTGCAAAACAATGATAATGTTGTCCTCTTTATAAACGAGAAAAATGAATGCATGTACTTATTAGGTCCAAATTCAGAATGGGTGGTTGATACAGCAGCATCTTACCATACCACACCGGTAAGAGATCTTTTTTGCAGATATGTAGCAGGTGATTTCGGCACTGTGAGAATGGGTAACACAAGTTACTCAAAGATTGCGGGGATCAGTGACATTTGTATCAAGACAAATGTCAGATGCACGTTGGTTCTAAAAGACGTACGACATATACTTGATTTGCGGATGAATTTGATCTCGAGAATTGCATTAGACGGAGATGGATACGAGAACTATTTTGCAAATCAAAAGTGGAGACTCACCAAGGGATCATTGGTGATTGCAAAGGGAGTTGCTCGTGGCACGTTGTACATGACAAATGCAGAAATATGCCAAGGTGAATTGAACGCGGCACAAGATGAGATTTCTGCAGATTTGTGGCACAAAAGAATGGGTCATATGAGCGAGAATGGATTGCAGATTCTTGCCAGGAAATCATTCACTTCTTATGCTAAAGGTACAACGGTAAAACCTTGTGACTATTGTTTATTTGGTAAGCAACATAGAGTCTCATTTCAGACATCGTCTGAAAGAAAATTGAATATACCGGATTTGGTATATTCTGATATTTGTGGTCCAATGGAAATTGAATCAATGGGCGATAACAAATATTTTGTTACTTTTATTGATGATGCTTCACGAAAATTATGGGTTTATATTTTGAAAACCAAAGATCAGGTGTTTCAAGTTTTCCAGAAGTTTCATGCTATGGTGGAAAGGGAGACAGGCCAAAAACTAAAGCGTCTCCGAAGTGACAATGGAGGTGAGTACACTTCAAGGGAATTTGAAGAGTACTGTTCGAGCCATGAGATCAGACATAAAAAGACAGTTTCTGGAACCCCACAACACAATGGTGTAGCTGAAAGGATGAACCGCACCATTGTGGAGAAGGTGAGAAGCATGCTCAGAATGGCGAAACTACCTAAGTCATTCTTGGGAGAATAGGAGTCTATTAGTTACGTTGGCATTTGACATCCCAGAGAGAGTATGGACCAACAAGGAGGTGTCCTACTCGCATCTGAAGGTGTTCGGTTGCAGAGCTTTTGCACATGTACCAAAGGAGCAGAGAACACCGTTGTATGATAAATCTGTTCCCTGCATATTCATCAGATATGGAGATGAAGAGTCCGGATACAGATTGTGGGATCCTGTAAAGAAGAAGGTCATCAGAAGCAGAGATGTAGTCTTCCGAGAAAGTGAAGTTGGAACTGCTGATGATATGCCAGAGAAGGCCAAGAATGGTATAATTCCTAACCTTGTTACTATTCCTTTTACTTCTAACAATTCCACAAGTGCATAAAGTAGGACCGACGAAGTTGCCGAGCAGGGGGAGCAACTTGATGATTATGTCGAACAAGTGGAGTACCCCACTCAGGAAGAAGAACAACCTCAACCTCTGAGGAGATCAGAGAGGCCAAGGGTAGAGTCATGCAAGTATCCTTCCACAGAGTATGTCCTCATCAGTGATGAAGGGGATCCAGAAAGTCTTAAGGAGGTGACGTCTCATCCAGAAAAGAACCAGTGGATGAAACTCATGCAAGAGGAGATGGAATCTTTGCAGAAAAATGGCACGTACAAGATGGTTGAACTTCCAAAGGGTAAAAGACCACTCAAATGTAAGTGGGTCCTCAAGAAAGATGGAAATGGCAAGTTGGTGAGATACAAAGCTCGATTGGTGGTTAAAAGTTTCGAACAGAAAAAAGGTATTGATTTTGACGAAATTTTCTCACCTGTTGTCAAAATGACTTCTATTCGAATAATCTTGAGCTTAGCAGCTAGTCTAGATCTTGAAGTGGAGCAGTTGGATGTGAAAACTACATTTCTTCATGGAGATTTGGAAGAGGAGATATATATGGAGCAACCAGAAAGATTTGAATTAGTTGAAAGGAAACACATGGTGTGCAAACTGAATAAGAGTCTTTATGGGTTGAAGGAGGCACCAAGGCAGTGCTACAAGAAGTTTGACTCAATCATGAAAAGTCAAACTTACACAAAGACATATTCTGATCCATGTGTATACTTTAAAAGATTTTCTGAAAATAACTTTATTATATTGTTGTTGTTTGTGGATGACATGTTAATTGTAGGAAAAGACAAGGGGCTGATCGCAAAGTTGAAGGGAGATCTGTCCAAGTCATTTGATATGAAGGATTTGGGCCCAGCACAACAAATTTTGGGTATGAAGATAGTTCGAGAGCAAACAAGCAGAAAGTTGTGGCTGTCTAAGGAGAAGAACATTGAACATGTACTGGAATGCTTCAACATGAAGAATGTTAAGCCAGTCAGCACACCTCTTGCTAGTCATCTAAAGTTGAGCAAGAAGGTGTGTCCTACAATAGTGGAGGAGAAAGGGAACATGGCTAGAGTTCCTTATTCTTCAGCAGTCGGAAGCTTGATGTATGCAATGGTATGCACCAGACCTGATACTGCTCATGCAGTTGGTGTTGTTAGCAGATTCCTTGAAAATCCTGGAAAGGAATATTGGGAAGCAATCAAGTGGATACTCAAGTACCTAAGAGGTACTGTAGGAGATTGCTTGTGTTTTGGAGGATCTGATCCAATTTTGAGGGGCTACACGGATGCTTATATGGCAAGTGATCTTGATAATCGTAAATCTACTACAGGATACCTGTTCACTTTTTCAGGGGGAGCTATATCATGGCAGTCGAAGTTGTAGAAGTGTGTTACACTCTCTACAACTGAAGCTGAGTATATTGCCGCTACTGAAGTTGGGAAGGAGATGGTTTGGCTGAAACAGTTCCTTCAAGAGCTTGGATTGCATCAAAAGCAGTATGTCGTCTATTGTGACAGTCAAAGTGCAATAGACCTGAGCAAAAGCACCATGTATCACGCAAGGACGAAGCATATCGACGTGAGATATCACTGGATTCGAGAAAGAATAGATGATGGATCTATACAGGTCAAGAAGATCCATACAAGTGAGAATCCTTCGGATATGCTGACCAAGGTGGTACCTAGAGACAAGTTCGAGCTATGCAAAGAACTTGTCGGCATGAACTCTATATGAAAAACTGGAGTTACCTCATTCAGGTGCATGGGACTGGAGGGGGAGATTTGATGGGTCCATCCCATGTGTAAGGAAGACATCTTCCTTTTGGCTTTGAAATGTCAAGGCAACTAAAGGAATAGCAAGGAAGCTTTTATGGCAAATATTTCGTTGGTTTCATATTGAATATTTGACTCTTGCCAAACTCATGAGATCATTTATGACATCAATGAAGCAATCCTAAACACTATAAATAGGCGTCTTGCTCTCATTGTAAAATACACCAACAAAGAGAGAGAAAGAGTGAGGTTTCACAGACAGGGCATAAGAAAATAGTCTGTGAGAAAAATAGAGAGTGAGCGATATTGTAGTGAGGTAGGACTATCAAAAGAGGGTTATTTCTTTTGAGTGTTATAGTGGTCTTTGGAGTATTTTACACGGACCTACAAAGTGTAAAATTTCTTGATATAGTGATATCAGTTGCTCCTCTGAGGGCCATGGTTTTTCCCTTATTCAAAAGGGTTTTCCACGTAAAAATCTTGGTGTCGTAGTAACTCTTTTATTCTTGTTAATTACCGTATCTCGGTGCTACGTTATTGTTCCGCTTTTATTACTGTGAATATTATTTCTATAGTGGGTTTATTTCCAACACTTCGAACACCCAATAAAAGAGTACTAACTCCAATTTCATCTATACGATCATTTTTTGGGCCATCTACATGTAAAAAAGGGCAGCCTAATGCACTAAGTTCCTGCTATGGGCGCGGTATGGGGAAGGGCCGGACCACAAGGATCTATTGTACACAGCCTTACCCTACATATCTGCAAGAGGCTATTTTCACGGCTCGAACCCGTGACCTCTTGGCCAAACAGAGACACACCGATGTTAAGAAGAAGAAGAAGAATGAGGGATAAATCAAATCTGATGACTGGGTGGTGACTACTCCCACAGAACGATTCACCATCCTACTTCATAGAGTGCAGTGCCTCCAGAACTAAGTATAGTATACACATTATTAGGTGTATACAAAATTGATATAGGAAAAAAGGATTCTAAAATCCACAGATATCAAAAGGCTACAATATCTCCCATCCCCTTCTAACCCATGAAAAAATAGTTGACTTGAACCAGCTTCTCCGCGCATTGCAATGACCCAGAAAGGAGTAATACGATATTTAAGTGTTTGCACATAAAATTCCATAGCGTCTTGAGCCATATATAGACAAATATGCATATGGAAAAAGGGATTGATTCATGTAAAACACACAGAGACCTAGACAAACTACACAAGTAGATAACAAAAATAACAGCATATTCAAAATAAAATTTAACAATAACAATATGGAGAGAGAATTCAGGAAACCTCTGTTTACTTCACATGCTATCCTCCACATATAAATGAGTTATTCAATAAAGGCCACTATGATGGAAATGTATAATATATGCTGCAATCAACTTGTTTCAAGAAAGGTACGACAAACATACACATGAAAATTTTGCATTTTATTTTTTTAAACCTGCACATCTACAATGCACATTAGTTCAACAAAAATAACAACAACAACCCAATATAATCTCACTAGTGGGGTCTGGGGAGGGTAGTGTGTACGCAGACCTTATCCCTACCCTGGGTAGAGAGGCTGTTTCCGATAGACCCTCGGCTCCCTCCCTCCAAAAACTCCCCACCTTGCTCTTGGGTGACTCGAACTCACAATCTCTTGGTTGAAAGTGGAGGGTGCTCACCACTAGAGCAACCCACTCTTGTCTCACAATGCACATTAGTTCATTTTCTTTAATTGTAATGTGGAGGGAGTTTAACGTCTGAATACTCCTCGGTTTACAAACTCACTTTCTTCTTTCATCAGGCTTCCAATTTACTATACCCTTTATTTTAAATAGAAAATACAACAAGAATACAATGTATGCTGATAACTTCATATCTTCTAGATCTTGATACCACTTTATATTATCTACATATTTACGTGGGATTTATTCCACTACTCTTCTTATTTTTCAACACATTATAACTTATACACCAAACTCATCCCTAACAAACAACAAATAGAACAACGTATACACCTTTGTTTTGCTAATCTTCACTAACAAAGAAATAGAAGAAAATATTGAAACGCTTTTAAGGGTGTGACTTAGTGGTCAAGAATGAGAGTAGAACCATGAGGTTTCAGGTTCAAATTCCAGCAGAGGCCAAAAACACTAGGTGATTCTTCCCATCGGTCTAGGCCTTGGTGAATAGAGTTATCTAGTACACGTTGCTGGTGTGAGATAACAAGTATCCCGTGAAATTAGTCGAGGTGCGTGCAAGTTGGCCCGAACACTACGTTACTCTGTCCACTAAGGATTAAGCAAAAAAATTTGGAATCCAATCCTGCTGGGCTCATCTATTTGTATTACTAGCTAAGGTTATGAAGTTAATAGAGGCATAGTTGCTTGGGATAAAGTGTGCTTGCCCAAATCTGCTGGGGGTCTCAATGTTCATAATTTGCAAATATGGAATAGTACAATTCTCCATATTATTCTAATTATTTTATTAAAAAAAAATAGTACATGGAACATACATCGCTCTCGCGTAGCTGTTGATAATACTTGATAAAGACGTCCTTATTTGGCCAAGTCATCCAATCATCCGGATCATAATACTCCTTCCCTTTTTCCTCAGTCAAATTGTCTTTGTCCTCGACTTTCAATTTCTTCTCAGGGGGTGACCCCTTTTCTGTACAAGAGTTCCCAGCCATAGAATTTTTCATCCGTCACCGCACTTCCACATGCTGACATAATATTAACCCTAAACCGGCGATATTTCGGTTAAAGTAGCTTCTTCTTTTTTTTCAGTAATTAAAAGATCGCCTAAAGTAGCTTTTTCTTTTTCCAGTACTTAAAAGATTGTGACAATTGTAGGCTTCAATGGAAAATATTTTAAGAAAAGTAATTGTAAAAGAAAACAGGGTAAGTGGCTACTTCATTTACCGCTGTAAATAATTTGATAAATATCGAATTAACGTACCGAAATCGAAAATTTTAGTAATTGATATTCAATATTTTGATATTCGGTATGGTATTTGGTTTAAATTTTAAAAAATTGATATTAGGTATGGTATTTGGTAAATATATATTAAAATTAATAATAAAAATATTAGGTATGGTATTTGGTATATATTATAATTAATAACATAAAAAATCTAAAATTTTACTTTCTTTTATTCTCTAAGTTAATCAATTAACTCTAAGTAACAAGTTTCTAATGATTAAATTTATTCCTTTATGTACAATTTTCTCTCTGGGTTGATATTTGCTAGTTTTGGACAAAACTTTTGTCAACAAATATTTTTAGTTTTGTACTTTTGAGTACTTTAATTACGAATATTACAGTATATGACTTTATGCACTAGTTAGTATTCAAACCGAATAAACCGAAGTTACCGAACCGAATAAACCGAAATCGGACGGAGAAAAATCGAACCATACCGAATTTAATTAGGTACGGTATTTGTATAATATTTTAAGAAACCGAATACTAAACCGAAATATATAAATATCCTACCGTACCGTACCGACCGACGAACACCTTATGTTCATCCCATTTCCTCCTTTAAAAGCTAGTTTGACCAAAAGTGTTTAGTAAAGATTTAAAATATTTTTAAGTCAAAACAAATCAAAAGCCAGTTTAAAAGCAAGCTTGACAAGATATATTTCTACTTTTTTATCCCCAACCTTTACTTATAATCCCCACAATACTTCCACTGCAATAAATTTTTAATATTATGATACACACATTGCACCTGTACCCTATGTTAATGAGTGTAAAATAATTTAAAAATTACATAAATGTTAAACATAAATGAGTTAAAAAAAAAGAGTATAAGTTTCTGCAAATGAAGAATTGTTGGTCCTATTTATTTAGTTAAATGGACAAAAATCTCTTGTGTCACTCTAATACAAGTAATTGTTTTGTCATAAAACCAGAAAACCATATTTATTTATTGACCTTGTTACTTAATTGCTATAAAATTTTATTGTTCGCTTTAGTTGTGTGAAAGCAATCAGGACAATGTTGCACCCATAAATTTCAAATGGTTTTTTGATAAAAAGATTATTTGTTTTGTCTTACTACATTTTCGGAAGGAACTATTGTTACGTTACCTAGTTCATTTTATGAATGATTTATATAAGAAAAAATCTTAGATTTTAAAAATCCTACTCGCTCGGTCTTTAACTTATGTGTCGTACTTTCTTTTTTAGTTTGTCCTAAAAAGAGTATCATACTTCTTTATTTAGAAATAATTTAATTTTATACCTTTTAACTTATTCTTAATAAGATTATTTGTAGCTGCATAAATATCGTTTTAGACCACAAGTTTCAAAAGTCTTTTTTCTTTCTTAAACTTTATGCTCAATTAATACTCGAATAAGTTGGGTCAGAGGGAGTAAATATTAAGGTTTTCTACATAGTAAAACAAGAAAATATTTAATAAGAAAAATTTAGTTGATTTTAAAGTCCTAAAATAAAAAATAAAAAATTAAATTTTAATTTTGTCCAATGTGAAATATATGCTTAAAGGATAAAAATGAGCAACATTTCGTGTTGAATTTTCGTTAAAAATAATTTTTCTAAAATTTTGTTTAAAAATAAATTTTACACTGGATAAAATTGTATGAATGTCTTAAAAAGTAACACGTAAGGTATTATAGTTATGCTAATTAATTTTGAAATTTTAAATATTAGGACTTCCTACATTTTTCAAATAAGAACTTTTTAAAAAGAAATATGTGAGAAGTTATACTTAAAACTAACTGTAATTTCTTATAAATTACAATACAATTTATTGCTATTAATTTTAATATATAAATTGATGTATTTTATCTATGTTTCACTTATCGTATATTATAATAGGAATTGTGATTTAATATAGATATATGTTTCAATATGTAAATGAAAACTTAAAGTACATTGTAGTATTTATTAACTATAAATTATTATTATTATTATTATTATTATTATTATTATTATTATTTTCAAATGTAGGCATATCGTTTGTAAACTTACTTACAGATATCTTCTTACTCATCCTAATTTGCCTATAAGTTTGGTTTACGTTATACAGTCAACTTTAATATTTAAAGACTTAGAAATTGATCTAAATTTTTATTTGGTAAATAACTAATAAACGTGTATATACACTTTAATCTATCTATCTATCTATCTATCTATCTATCTATCTATCTATCTATCTATCTTTATTATAAAATCATGAATAATTTATGCTAAATGTTGAACGACTAAAATATACTTAAAATGTTGGTCGACTTTTATAATTTTAAATATTTATATAAAATTTAAGGATATAATTGTAAATCAACTAAACCCGAATTCTTTTCCAATTTAAACTAAACGTAGGGCAAACGTAAAAGTTACAATTCTTTTCGGTTTTAGGAGTCCTTTATCAGGTTTAACTTATTACAACTCTTTTTAGTCTCAGGAGTATTTCTTTATTCGAGCACCTTCTATTCCTTTAATTTAGAGTCCTTTTTTATTCTTTTAGAGTTAGGAGTCCTTAATCATTTTTCTATTTCAACTAGAAAAATTTGAATAGCTTTCGTTATGAAGTGCAAAGTTGTAGTTACTTGTAACGATCCGATCGGTCGTTTTGAGAGTATTAACCACGAACCCCGATTTATTGCTCCCTTTATTTTATTTTTGGGTTTTGTGCCTTGCCGGAAGGATTTATTTTTGGTTTCGGAGTGAAATGGGACACATAGTCCCTAAAATAGAAGTTTAAGTCGTAGGAATCGACCGTAGTTTGAATTGTGTGAAGACGACTCCGGAATGGAGTTTCGACGGTTCTTATAGCTCCGTAGGGTGATTTTAGTCTTAGGAGCGTATTTGGATGTTGAATTGGAGGTTCGTAGGTCATTTTAGCGTCAATTGGCGAAAGTTGGAAAATGAGAGAATTTTTGGGAAGTTTGACCGGGAGTGGACATTTTGATATTGTAGTCTGATTCCGATTCCGAAAGTTGGAATAGGTCTGTAATGTCAATTATGACTTGTGTACAAAATTTGATGTCAATCGGACTTGATTTGATAGGTTTCGACGTCGGATATAGAAGTTTGAAGTTTTAAAGTTCATTAGGCTTGAATCGATGTGCAATTCATATTTTTTAGCATTGTTTGATGTGATCTAAAGGCTCGACTAAGTCCGTATGATATTTTAAGACTTGTTGGTAAGTTTGGTTGAGGTCCCGGGGGTCTCGAATGAATTCCGGATGGTTAACGGATCAAATTTAGACTTGGAAGAATGGCTGAAGGCACCAGCTCTGGTGTAATCACACCTGCACAAGATTGACCGCAAGTGCGAGCCCGCAAAAGCGGGCATTTGGGGGCAGAAACGGGCTGGAGCAGCGTAGGCAGAGGTCACAGATGCGAGGAAAATTCCGCATCTGCTAGACCGCAGATGCGGACAAGGAGGTCGCATGTGCGCTGGAGTCCGCAGAAGCAGACTGCTTCCTGCATAAGCGGATAGGAGATCGCAGAAGCGGAGGCAAGGCAGCCTGGGCAAAACCGCAGAAGTAGTGCATTTTTCGTAAAAGCGGGACCGCAAATGCGATCAAGTAATCCGCAGAAGCGAAAACACCGGGCAGACTATATTAAATCAAGGGTTCGTGATTTTTATCATTTTAGACATTTTGAGCTCGTGTTTGGCGATTTCTTGAGAGCATTTTCGAGGAATTTCTTGAGGTAAGTCACTTGTGCTTATTTTTGATCATTAATCTTGTTTCCTCATTGATTTTTCCCCTAGTTAGTGTGTAAATAAGGTGAAATTTGGGAGTTTGAGGCTAGGGATTTGGAGAGTTTAATTTGGGGATTTGAGTGGCAATTTGGTGTCGGATTTTGGTAAAAATGGAATAGTTGGAATCGTGGTCGAATGGATATTCGTAATTTGTGACTTTTACCCGATTATGAGACGTGGGTCCGGGTCGACTTTTTGTGGCAATTTTTCGATTCTTTACTAAAGTCATAGATTTATGATTTAAATTAGTTTCTTTTAGTTGTATTTATGATATGTATTTGATTTTGGCTAGATTTGGGCCATTCGGAGTTGAAAAGTCGAGGGAAAGGCATCCTTATCGATTGATTGAGCGAGATTTGAGGTAACTGACTTTGTCTAACCTTGTGTGGGGAAAACCCCCCTTAAGATTTGGTATAGTTGTAACAATTTATGATATGTGAGCTCCGTTTACGCAAGATGACGAGTGCGTACACATGCTAACTGTGGGAATTTCGGTTCTTGCTGAGGTGTTTTCTTTTATATTCCTTAACTGAGTTGTCTTAGCATATGTAGTAATTATGATTAGCCTAGTATCGCATGTCTACGTGCCTTAACTCTTACTTGCAATTTTTGCAACATGCTTAGTTGAATTACCTGCTTCCCTTGATTTGAATTAAATCTTTAACTGTAAGATTTCTTGTTGTAAATTCGTTGTTCCTTCGGTTATCTGTTGAATATTTACTTTGGGACTACGAGGCGGTTCCTCGCGAGATCCCCCTGTACTACATATTTACTTTGAGACTACGAGGCGGTTCCTCGGGAGATCCCCATGTACTGCATATTTACTTTGGGACTACGAGGCGTTTACTCGCGAGATCCCCCTGTACTACATATTTACTTTGAGACTACGAGGCGGTTCCTCGGGAGATCCCCATGTACTGCATATTTACTTTGGAACTACGCGGCGTTTA